CTCCCTTTCTTCTAACCTCCATTTTCCAAGCTCGTTTCTTTCTTGCATAAGGCCCACACCAATGACTTGCCTTCTTAGCCTTTGCCTTGCGTTGTCTCTTGGCCTTGCGTTTCCTAGCCTTCAACTTCAACCTTGGACCATATCCTTTCGGCCAATCTCTCACGCATGAAGGCCCATAAATCGGACTTGATGGCTCCTCCAGCATGTTTCCCAATCATATATCGAGATCTTCGACCATCCCGTCATTTGACTCACCGGGGTTAATAACCACTTTCGTATCATTCCCCTCCTCTTCAAGACTTTCCTTGTCCTCAAGGATAATGAAATTTAGCGCACCTTCATCATCATTATTCTGAATTTCGGCCACTTCAGCTTCCCTGGCTTCCACGAGTTGTCGTTCGAACTCCTCCAAATTCCTTCGCTCGTGAAGCTCCTCCAAATATGTTTGCTCCCATGGGGTCAAATCCCTTTTTAACCCCTCCAACATCTCAAGATCTTTCCAATCCAACTCATCCAATGGTAAGAAAGACATCTTTTTTTTTTACTCTAAAATAAAATCAAAACAAACTAGGATGACACTTTTTTTTTACTCTAACTCACGGAAAAATAAGAAAAAAAAAGAGAAAATTCGAACAAATATTCGAACCAAAAAGAAGAAAAATTCGGCCCCTCAGCAAAAGGCAAACCAAAAAAAGAAAAAGATAGATAGACAAAAAACACGATTAGAATCTCTCAACGAAAGCACCAATGATGAGGTTATCGTGATTTCTGTCTATTGGTTGTGAAAAATCGCGCACTCAGGGCCTTCGACTAAACACGATAGGTGTGACTAATAGGCGCACTCAGGGCCTTCTCTTAGACACGATTTATATGTTAAACACGCACTACGGCCTTGCTTAAGTACACGACTGAACACAATCCTTTTCCATTCACTCATTCATCCATCCAAATAATGAAGAGGTACATGGGTATTTATAGGTGCATAAATAAATCTAAGTCTAATCAAACTAGATCTCCTAAATCATGCGATAATAAAAATCCTAAACATCTTCTAAAGCAAAAAGGAAACTAAAATATCTCCTAACATCTAATATTTCCTAATATTACTAGAACTCTAGATACTTGACTTGCACTCCAATAATTTCTTGAACTTCAAGTCATGCACACGCCCAAAGCCACCGCCTCTCGCGCGCGCCGCCCGTCCGTTTTCCTCTTCCTCGACACGCAAGGCATCGCGCGCCTTGCCCCGCACGCATGTGCCTGCCGCCTTCGCCTCGCCTAGTCCCGCGCAGACTAGGCTTCGCTCATCTGCCCCGCACGCGCCCTCCATCTCTCGCGTTCGGCATCCGCCGTTCTCCTCTCGCGCGTGCGCGCCCAGCATTCCTAAGCCTGCGAGGCTTAGGCCTCCACCCGCATCCGTGCACCACTCGCGCGCGCTATCGCACTCGCTAGCTGCTTGCGCGCCTGCTGGCGCGTCTTCGCCCATCACGCGCTTGTTGTCTACTCCTACTCGGTCGAGGTCACTGCCCGCGTCGCCTTCACTTGCGCGTCTCACACGCTCCGCGTCTCCGCTGCCCGGCGACTCGCGCGTACCATCAACGCTCGCGGTCTGCTCGCCTGTCATGCACCCGCGTGTACCCTGCTTCGCCCAACCATGCGCATCACCTTGTTCACTCGACCACCTGCGCGCATCAAGTCTCGATACACGTCGCTCGCTTGTGCTCGCCTCTTCGTCGTCGATCGACTCCGCCGGCTCGCCCAATGGCCCTGGCTCATCCATGTGTCCCAACCTTCCAACCCAATGCAATCTCCGTCACACCATATCCAACCATCTTCCATCCTTTGCACTCCCTTTCTTCTAGCCTCCATTTTCCAAGCTCGTTTCTTTCTTGCACAAGGCCCACACCAACGACTTGCCTTCTTAGCCTTTGCCTTGCGTTGTCTCTTGGCCTTGCGTTTCCTAGCCTTCAACTTCAACCTTGTACCACATCCTTTCGGCCAATCTCTCACGCATGAAGGCCGATAAATCGGACTTGATGGCTCCTCCAACATGTTTCCCAACCATATATCGAGATCTTCGACCATCCCGTCACTTGACTCACTGAGGTTAATAACCACTTCCGTATCACGAAGCAATCCGCCGCGCCGCTAAGCTCCATCGCGTCGCGCCGCTGAGCTCCACCACGCCGCGCAGCTGCCACGACATGAACAGAAGGCCAAGGTTCCACCTCCGCGCCGTGGCACGCAGCACGCCGCGGCGCCTGCTACTCCTTTTTATCGCACCGAAGCGCCACCGCCGCGC